CTACTAGGTTGGATGCCATCCCTCTTAGGTTGGAGGCCATCACTACTAGGCAGGTTGGAGGCCGTCACTCTTAGGTTGGAGGCCATCGCTAGGTTGGAGGCCATCGCTTTTCTTGACCAGATCCGAGACACAACAATCACCTCCCATCAAAGAGAGCCGCTCTATGAGGCTCCGAGAAGGTCTAGTCGTACACGTTTGAGATGGTGAGACACTTCAAACACTTTGATCATCCTTTACAGAAGGTCTTTCACTGACCAAGCTGTAGAAGTGCAACAAGATGCAACAAACAAGTTCACGTTCAGAAACCAACGATGGATGCACTGCACTCTTCATCCTTCCAGTTTTTCTTGCTAAACCAACGCAAACTGAACAAATCTGAACACATCTGACCACCCATCTCCTCTGCAAAATCCAACCAGAAACCGCCCGCGCGGCGGCGGTAAGCGCGCACGCTCCCCACGCTCCGCGCAGCTCCGCACGGCGCCTCCCCCCAGTGGCAAGGGTGGAGCTTCACCCCACATGGAGTGTCCCTGTGGGCGGCCGAAAGGTAGCCAAATCCAACCGGTGGTGGATAGTCAACTCCTTAGACCATATTGTATGGACGGAAGAAAAAGCCTCATCACCATACATATAGGCAGGTGTTTTTCATAAATCTCAACAATAAGGATAGTCCATCTATAGGAACATGTTGGATATAATCAAATAACACACACTTCCTTCTAAGGATCTGTTTAAGGAACCTAGCACAAAAGCACATAAGGAACCCAGGTATGGGGATTTAACCATATAGGGGAACACAAATATCAAAAAAAACACCTGATCAGCAAAACGTTCAGGATGTTGAGACTGTTGAGATGGTGTTTTTCCTCAGTCTTTTTCGCTGGCGGATTCGCTTGCTGCCCGCCTGCATGCCCCAATTATACACCGTCCACCTGCAGAAAACCGGTCGAGGACGGTGACCGGGCGACCTTGGGGTCCGTCTTCCAACCGTGTCGCACCTTCGCTGAAAACAGGGTTGCAAAGATCCTCCAAATCACGTCGCGAAGGGGTGTGAGATGAATTTGTTCCGGAACATGTCTTTCTTCCGTGTAACACATGCTTAAGACCTATACGAAGGTCCAACGATACGGCACGGTCCGCCCACCAAACGCACGGTCTGGCCGGCGACCCCGAAAAAACCGTTCTCTTCAACCGATCACGCGACGTCTCGATCTGTCAAAAGGTCTCGTTCGAAGTGGCGAAGGGTCTCGATCATGTTGGATCGACGACACCCGAACAAGGTCAGTGGACCCAGAAGCTATGGTTCGCCAGAAGCTGCCTCCGCTTCAATTTATCCAAGTGAGGAAGTAAGATGAAGTAACCAAGTTACCCAACAAAAATCTGAGATCTCTAAAAGAATCTAAAAGATCACTTTGAAGGTCCTGGTATGTCCTGGTTGTTCTCATTTCTTCTCACTGACCTTACCTCAGCAAGATTGATGACACGTGAAACGTGTTCCGGGTTCGACTGCTTGTAGCAGCATGTTGAATGGCACCATGACCCCAGTCCCCCCAAAATATCGCCACATTTCACGACTCCCTTTTCAACCATGCAAATGCCAAAGACCTTGACTCTTTCACCCAGGATGGACTAGCTGACTAGCTACCCTCCGACTAACCTGGAAGTGGAAGAAGGCCTCTGAGAATATGACTGTGCCTTTCCTTTACAAACAGGATCGGGCAAACCACAGGAAACCTGAGGAAACCTGTGCGCGGGAAAGGTAAACCGCCTCCGGACCCAACTGCTTCACCAACGCCTCAACCTGCCCGGCGCAACCCAACTGCTTCGTGCCTGCTGACGGTGTTGGGCGTCGCTAGGCCCGGTGAGGCCAAGGGTGTCCGCAGCACTGGCGTGACCTCCTCCCTGGAGCGGGCGGGCGGTCAGAGCTACTCCCAAGAATTTCTTGTAGCGAAACCAACATGAGAAACACATGTCCAAAAATCATGCCCTAGACAGACTAGGTCTTGTTTGCTCATGTGAGTCATTTTTAGGATCTTTGACCTCTTTACTTCCTTGAAAGATTCCAAATTACTTCCCTTAAGCCTGGGTAATGCCAGGATCGATGAGGAAAAACATGTATCGAAGTAATTACATATCGATCTATAGCTGGTGCATGATGGAGACCTTGTGGGTACTAGCATGGTGGATCATGGTGGATCAATTCTTCACTTTTGGACACTTGGCCCTCCGTCTGATGTCGTGAAATCTCATGAAGCACTGGCATCATTGGAACCCCCCTGAGGTACCGCAACCACCACTTCATGAAGCTAGGGCATCCGCCCCGCCCTTTTGATGCACCAAATGCCGCTTTTTCCAGTAGCAGCTATAGCCACTAGCCACGCACGCACGCATGCGCATTGCTCCGGTCCGCTTCGGTCCAGTCCACCGGTGAAACCATGACTCCGAGTGTCAGGCGACGCCGAGTCGGATTCTGTGTGGAGCTCAAAGTTTTCGATCAGAATCCGACTATCCATAGATGTCGGATTCTACAGACTGATGGACTGGAACCTATAGAATTACCGCTTGACGGCCGTGGTTGGACATGTAATGAAAGGATATGAAAGGTACGAATTCCTGGTGAACGCTGAAAAACTCTTCAGATATTGTATGGCGATTCTTGCATCCTGACTGTGTTTTTGGTTCAGTAGCGGCCACTATTGCGGCACAACCAGATCAGATTTGGCTTAGGCACTCTGGCTGACCGGACCTCGTAAAACCGATCATTTCACACTGCGGTGAACTGATATCAATGTGATTCCTTCTTGTTCCTTCGTTTCTTTATTTCACTCAATGTAGTCTCTTGATTAACCACCCAGTTGAATTGGACATCCTCTTTATCAGGGGGTCAGAGTCTACATCCGTCTACCTCACTCCTCGCCTCGTCAGTCGCGAACACCGGTCGCTCTGCGGAACACCGGTCTTTCACCCTCAACCGTCGGTGAGCCCGGCTGCCCCCCCACCCCGCGCACGTTGGATTCGGAAAGCCATCATCGTCCTGGACCTCGCAGGCGCTCGCAGGCGAGGGGGAAAGCGCCAAAGGCGCAGCTTGGAAGTGACGAGGAGGGTGGAAGTGACGAACGGAGGAGGGATTCTTGGATGTGTCTTTTGCGGAAGCTTGGGGAGGCTTCTCATCGCTTCTCATGAAGTTTGATGATGTTCATTGATGTTCATCCAGCTGAACACATGGGTTTGAACAACTTGATGAAACCATGTGCACCCCCCAACACCATGTGGATCTCTGGTACCCACGCCTGGCGACCCCCCCTTCTGATTTCGGATGTGCTCCCGCCCCGACACGCCCGCGCGAACGCCGCTTCGCGCGCCGCGACCGCGCGACGGCGCGAGCGTTTTCGGCGCTGAGCTGTCGGCAGGGGTCAACGGGGTCAATGCACAGTCCACCGCCAGGCTCTCAAGGCCTCGACACACGCGGACCAGACCGGTCCGAAGTCGCAGCCCAATAAACCCGACGACTGGTCTACAGTGTATGACCAACATGGGACGGCCATATGACCCGGAAAAGAAAAGAGGTAGTACCTATAGATAGGTACCTATTATAGTACTTATCCACTTTCGGAGATGCGATACAATGTTCAGACTCCAGGAACAGTGTTGTTTGTTCTTTTGATGCTGAATCCGTCTTGAACTCATATGACCTCTGTTTTGATACCAAAAACAACACAATGCTTTGACTCCCAAACAGGGGGTCACTCAGATTCTAGGTGGACATGGCATGACACTTCTTCAGAACTTTGCTCATAGCGGGGCTCGTTCACCAGTTTCTTTGCAACTAGCTGACCCGCATCGACGAAGGACATTCATGATCATGGAGGGGACAGGTGTTCTGTCTTTTTCTTCTGTACTGCTACTCTCCCCATGTTCGAACTCAAGAATGCAAAGCTGTGTACCTGGGCCCTACATGTAGGGGTGTCCAATCATAGTTCCTTAGAGCCTTAGAGGTTGATGGGTGTCTGATGGGTGTCTAGCAGAATATAGTCCACCCGTATATTGGGGGCCCTGGTGCCTACCAACATTCACGGCAAGCGATGGCCCCCAGGTCACTGGGTGAGAAAGCATGGTCCTTCTGCATTCTTCATCTGGTCATCATGGTCATCATGGTCAGGGACATCTCTACGCAGGAACCTGAGTTCTTCAGCTGTCTTTGGTCCATGAAAATCATCCATGCCAAGGTGTCTGTTCATTCCAGTAAACATTAATTTTCTGTTTGGACACGAACCGACTTTTCTCGAAACACTTCCGAAAGTCCACACCGAAAGCGAAGAGCCAAGCGACCCGACCATGCTTTAACCCCGCCCATGCTGGGATCATCCCAAGCGAAACAAAGAACACACACCTGAAAACCTGTCCCATGATGCCGAACACGAATGATCATGACACTCGTCAAGCACCCTGGAAAAAGAACGTTAACTTCATCCCTGGATTATCCTGTCTCGGTGTCCTAGCTGGAGATCCTTAGGCGCCTTAGGTAGTCCACCCAGCACACCCAGACAGGATGGTCCACCCAGCCACACCCATTGTACCCCTTCTCTCCGTGAACCACCTCAAGGCAGCACCCCTCCACCTGGCCCGGCCTTCTTCGGATCCGGTGTAGCGGGGCACCTGAGGCACGGCTTCGGCCCACTAACCAGGCCTTCACCTCTGCGGCCCAAGGGAAGCAACATGTGAGGCCAAACGGGTCTCTTTTCCAAACCTTTGAGGGGTTCATGATATCACTCATTGCCTGGGAGGGTCTCCCTCTGAGAAGATACACCCACATTGGTGTGTTTCTCTCTCGATTTACGCACCCGCGGTGAAGTCACCTGGATCTTACTTGCGGAACGTCGGCCTACCGAAACGCAACAACGCACGAGGAGGCCAAGCCTTAGGACCAAAGAGCTGCATCGGATGACCGGAAGCAACATCACTCCAAATAAAGTGAAGATTTATGTTGATGCTAATCCAAAAAGGTTCACAATGTCAAAGGGGTCCAGCTAAAAGCAAATCCTACAACGTCACATTATCTTGGAATTTGAACAGAAACACCATCAGATGGTCTGTGTAATGGCATTGCTTCCACATGTTGATTTCTTCAATGATCTTCAACTGGTTGTTCTTGGAACCATTTGGAACCTAATCCCACTGTGAATCCCCTAAAAAATAGACCCATCCAAAGAATTAGCTGCTAATCCCGAGTACCGGTCCAAACCTGGCGAGCTCCGGTCGCCCGGGACTGAAAAGAGGAGGGAACCCCCCACGATCATATGGTGGAGACCCACTCCTTGTATCCTTCACGTTTGGGCAAAAGAAGCGGAGGTCTTTCTGTTTAGCTGTCGATCTTGCACCTCACATGATCTTGCATCCTCGAAATACCCTGTTTATGTTTCATTATAGTCGAAGTGCAAGCTGCAAGCTGACCTGCAAGCTGCAGCATCTCTCAAATGACAGAATTCCAAGCACTCTGCTTGCCCAATAAAACGCAATCCTTCGCACTCCATGTATACCTAGATCTTCCAACTGTGCAACATGTCTGCCTTTTGATCTATAAAACCAGCCAAGTCAGGTAAACATCTTGCAAAACCCCTAGAAGATCTGGGTCTCGTTCTCGCCCGGTGGCCCCCGGCCTCCAAGTCTTCTACCTCTTCCCAGTCGTCTCCGAGCACTTGCACGACAATGTAGCCTCCAACCGAGGACTTGCCCGAGGATTCGACTGCCGGTCGAAGCCAAGAGATGAACGCACGACGGACGGGCTCAGCACGTTGCATCGCTTCGGTTCCCCCTGTCCCTTTTTGGAGCTTGTCCGCTTTGGCTGGGTCGTGTGCGAACACATGGGTGGCACATGGCAGGAACACTTTGCTTTGGCTGGGTCGGCGGTTCCTCCTTGCGAACTAGCATGCCACGGGAAAACCTTTGTGGCAAAGTCTGTGAGAAGCCTATGCTGAACAAGCAAATTGTCTGGTGGTCTTGGTTTCTTTTGTTGTCGCACGCAACACATCACATCAATTTGTCAATTCTCAGGACCACAAACATGTGAGCAGATTGCGGTCCTAACATGTCAAGAACTCAAAGTACTTTCTCCACCTAATGGCTTTGGTCACAGAAATACCGAGACGACTCTGCAGCAGCAGTTTCTGCACTCCTTACACATCTGAACCGGTTCATTCATCGCCTTGGCCCTGCAGCTGCACCTCGCAAATGTCAGCGAAGCGCTCGTCTTGCCTTGGGCAAGAAACAAGTTAACACCTGAGACTTTTCAGGTCAAAGAACCCTCGATACGTTCCAGAAGCTCGTTTTACACCATTCTACTGCATTGCTCGTTTGGTCAAAGAAAACAACACCTATCACTCACAAACCGAGGAACCTGGACCAGGTCTTGGGTCACGATTTGCTGTCGAACCTGGACAAAGTAAACCAAAATTTCCCAGGTATGGGGATGTATATAACCAAGCAAATAAACAAAAATACGAAAGGTGATTTATATACTCCAGAAGGGATTTTTGTGTAACCAAATAAAAATAACATCATCTCAAGCAAAACCAGTGTCAAACAGGGAAAACACATATATATATATATATATTGTTTTTTACCACATCCCTTCGAAGCATGTGTGGCTATCCCTCTCCTTCAAAAACCGCCACTGGGGATTTAACAAAAGCCTGATAAAAACCATTGTCTTTTTCTAGAACCCCCAAAGCACCTGCAAATCATTGCAAATACCATCATACCGCCCTTTTTGGAGGTTTGGTCGCAGGGGAAGGGTCAGACTTGGACACAAAAGCTCAACACATCTCAACACTTTGGAAATAGCCTACCAAACAATCCATGGAACAAGAATGGTTACCTGCATGCATGGATGGGTCATTTTCATCGGGAAAATGCATGGATGAACTGCTAACGATCACCATTCCCGGATGGTCTGGGCAATAAGAACAGCTACAGCATGGGCTATGACCTTCCACCAATTTTCGAGGTACCAGGTCGACGATCTGGAGTCGGTGAGTCAGTGCTTAATGGCACTGACTGAGTCCAATGCCATCTACTGTACAGTTGCTGGATGACTATCCCATAGAATCAAAAAAGAATGACCTACTGACCTACTGTCTATACTGGTTCAACATAGTATGCCAAACGCAAGCACTAGTCCACTAGTGTGATGTGTGTGCTCATGTGTGCTCTCGTAGATCTGTGCTCTCATGTCTCCAAACAGATTGTGTTGTGTTGCGATCGCAAAGAATGCACGATTGGACCTTGTGTATCTGATACTGGGATCCAGCAAAAGCACATCTGTCCTTTCCATCTTAGGAGACCTAGGGAATCCACCTAGCAGACCAGCCACCCTCCTCGACATCAGTCAGACCTGCAAATGAAGACATTGCCATCATGTGCAATTTGAATGCACCATGATGACAGAAAGTTCGGAAATCTCGAGGTTGATCAATCCTCCCAGCATTCTGGTGCTGCAATTCTCTAGTTATCGAGTGTCCGAAGAGCGGGCCCATAAGAATTGACTTATTATTATGCATAAGTCCAACCCCGATCCATTTGCTTGTGCTGAGATACAATCCACGAAGGAGAGCGGAATCTTCACGCAGTAACTATATCAAGGTTCGCAAATGAGACAAAGTCAGTTGAATGTCCCCCCTGGCAACACATTTCTTCTTCAGAATCCACCTGTGTCATGTAAAAACCTGGTTAAGCCGAATGAATGTGTTCCACAACCAATGGCCGACCCCATGTTGAACCAGATCCCACATTCCACCCCTGATCCCAAACAGTCTGGCTTGGTGACTTTGGAAAATATTAGTCGGTGGTTCAGTGGGTTTAATATGGTTCAATCATCCCCAAGTAGAGGTTGAAAATAGACCTCCGACACCAGCCAGCATCAGCTGTCCTCACGCGCTGCACCGCGCAAGGCTCGCTGCATTCGGACGAGATCCCCCACAAGAGCTCAGACAGCTTGGAGTGTCCCAGCGACGTCTCACTGAGTTCCGTTTGATACCTCGGACGATGGGGCGGCAGGATGGGTAGAAACCGGCGCAGGGAACGCTCCCGAAGATGGATGATGGTGAGACGAACATGCAAGGAACATACTCAAACACTCCATGGAAATGGAATATATGCCTACATCGGGGTGATTTCAGTAGCCAAGGAATGTCCGGGATCCAAGAACCACCTGTTCGTTTTGGAGTTCTGGTGACCAAAGAGGCAAACTTGGGACAAATATGGACCAATGCCCTCTGAGTCTTTCTGGTAATGACTCTTAGATACTCTTGGTCCACCTTTGCCACTTTGGGCCTCCAAGGCGTCCCCCCGCTGCATCTCGATGCAGCAGTTAGACTGTTTCATCCACCCGTAGAGTAGACTCTTGAACTGTTGAAATCCACTCAGCTACACTTCGCCGATTTGTGGGGCCCTGTCAAAACGAAAAGGTACCATACAAGTCAATATCCTCATTTACTGAAGTTGGTCATACAAAAATACACTAAAAACACTACTTAAGTAGGTAAAGGACCAGCTTGTACTGGGTCTTTGGACTTGTGGAGGTACATTGACACAATAACTTGTTCCTCATCATCCATTCGACACCCTCCACCAGCAACGTTCTACGCGCCAGTTCTACGTCTTCAGCGGGTCGAGCCATGCGTTCGTCTTCGGTGGCCTGGAGCGGAACAAGCGTTTCACGTTGGAGAGCGGAATCATCGATGGCCTCGGGCACGAATTGGCGACGAGGACGAGGACGGCACCGGAGGGATGGTGAACGTGAACGGATGGCCAGGGCTTTTCATTTGAAAAACAACAGTTACTAGTAGCGTCCTTGCTCCTAGTAGTAAGGCCAGGAGCCCCTAGTAGCTTCTTGTTACTACTAGTAAGGCACTTGTTACTAGAAGCGATGCACTCGTTACTAGTAGCGTCCTTGCTCCTAGTAGTAAGGCCAGGAGCCCCTAGTAGCTTCTTGTTACTACTAGTAAGGCACTTGTTACTAGAAGCGATGCACTTGTTACTAGTAGCGTCCTTGCTCCTAGTAGTAAGGCCAGGAGCCCCTAGTAGCTTCTTGTTACTACTAGTAAGGCACTTGTTACTAGAAGCGATGCACTTGTTACTAGTAGCGTCCTTGCTCCTAGTAGCGAGGCCAGGAGCCCCTAGTAGCTTCTTGTTACTACTAGTAAGGCACTTGTTACTAGAAGCGATGCATTTGTTACTAGTAGCGTCCTTGCTCCTAGTAGTAAGGCCAGGAGCCCCGAACGTAGCATCCTTGCTCCTAGTAGCGATGTCCTTTGCTCCTAGTAGCTTCTTGTTCCTTAGCTCAAAGGGCTGCTTTCCAGTTTGGTGATTTTTCCAAAGGGCTTCTTTCATATGGAACTGTTGTGTTCGTTTGTTCCACATCGGTTTGATGATTCCTTCCACCACCAAAGGTTTTGCGAGACTTTGAACCCGTGTCTCGATCATGTTGGATACAGGCGGGTGTACAGGGTGGCATGATCGGTCGCTTTGCGTCCGGGCAAATCATGACCACCTCGTCACGTTTTGCATACTTGTTGCCTAAATAAGATCCCACCTCGCAAATCTGCTTGGACTTGCTCTCGAACCAGGAAAAATGGCAAGAAGTTTTTGATAGAAGGGGATTCACCCATAGGGAAAATTTTCCAGAATCACCTATTAAGCAATATTTAGCAAAACCAGGTCTGGTAAGCTCCCCATGTGACAAACATGCCTTTTTATCCCCACCACTGAATCCTCCATTTGACGTATCATTGACCAAAGCTAGTATACCTCATGTGTCCTATCCCTAGATCAGATTCCCAACCGTTCCAGTACCAACATCCAAACAGGAAACCCTTTCGTGGCCTTATAAGCCAATTTGGTAACGACGACATCCTCAAAGGACGCTCTGAGTGCTCCGGCCCCGTGCTGTCAGGGAGCTCCGCAGACTGCAGAATCTCCTTCAAGCACTGGCGCGCCTGCGGGGGAGCGTGGCAACATGGGAGTTCACTGCACCACTTACAGTGAAATGCATCGCCTTTGGGAGGATTCGTGTATGAATTAGATGTCATCAAGCACAAATCCAGAAATCCAAGCCAAAGCGACCGGAAAAGTGGTGAGACTTCGAAGCTGGAATCACGTAGTGAATCCCAGAATCCCATGCCCCAAGAATATCTTCGCAAAAACAACGGTGTGATTCTCCACTCCGGAAAAACAAAATAAAAATCAAAAAAAAACAAGGAAACTCAACACCACCCCAGTGGGCCCAGTTTGAGCCAACCAAGAGTTGGAGTCCACCAACGTGCTGCACGCGGAGTCGGGTTGTGTCTTCAAGCCTTCGTCAAGGAGGCTAACTCGAGCTGGGGCGCTTTCGTGTTGGCCACGTCTTCCTTCTGTGCTTGGCACCTGGGCGTCCGGGGCCAGCGCCGCGAGCGCCGCGAGCGCCGCGAGGCGACGGCGAATCCGAGCGTGGACGAGCTGCCTGGAATCGCCGACCCTGAACACCTTCGAGCCTGGATTTCAGATGGCTGACCTGGATGTGGTGAAAACATCCTTGGTAAAGCAATGTTGGTTGTTCAGGATTCCAATGCAGGCTATTAGATCAATGGCGGGCCACGAATCTATAGAGGCGCGCCGGGAGCCGGGAATGACATGAACCAGACCATCAGTTCAAATGAAGTGGAACGACAAATTATGTCATTCTGCCCCTTGGGTCACAAGAAGATGGTTTTTGGTCAAGCTCTCAGCGAGTGGATGTTCTGGGCACCCCTCTCCTCCAATATAGGAACCCCGTTCCTGGCAAGTCTACTTCTGGCCAGCACATAGTTTCTCGGCATTTCTATACCTTTTAAGCCCTCTTCGAAGCCCGGCTTTGGACTGGTTTTTAGTCTCAGGACTTCGGTGGTCGAGACAGACTGACTCGAGCTGTGCCCGGACGAGGCGGGAGCTGAACGGTCTGGATGGCTCCACTGAGACCGCGCACGGTTGTTGAGAGACGGCGCACTCCTCCTTCACCCGTGACCTGCGAGGGTTTGGGGGGTCCGGGTTGGGTGCCCGCGCGAGCTGGACGCACCGGAGAACACACCAACTGGTGTTGTACTGGGTGTGTGAAGCTTCTTGTAGCATACACCCAGTTAACAAGGGAACAGGGTGTGGGAGACACACCAACTGGGTGTGTGAAGCATACAAGGGAACAGGAGCAACACGTTTTTGGCAAGCAACTCGACAGCAACCAACAAAAACACAAGATCTTGGTGCTGGGTGCTGAGGCACGTCGCTACGGTCACTCCCTGGTAGTTCAGAAGCACGGGGAACCCTCCAAAATCATGAAGCAAGCGTCTTCTTTTGGCAGGGGCACCACCGATGAATATATAGATTCGGGTCAATGTTTGAAGAGTCTGCAAACTTCCAGTTGTCCTGCAAACCAAACCACCCGGCTGCAGGATGACCTGCAACCAGCAGCCACGAGAGTCCCTAGAGCAGAGTGAGTAAACAAGATATCAGGCAAAATCCCAGAAATCCGGCCCAGATCTGGCAAAGATAAGAAACACATGCTTGCAGTGAAAGTATTTGTGCAAGCAGCATGGTCTCAAGGGAATACTACACCTGGGGAAGCTTGATGAGGGGTTCTCCCGATGTGCCTGGCTAGTCTATATATGTCTATAGTACGATGTCAGAACTGGTACGATGGCTACCATCAAGACTCGCCTCCAGGTCGGAACACCCACGCTGGGTTCCCCAACTGAGAACGGCTGTAGGGCACCACAGCGCCATTGCAATAGCCTGCTGGCGCACCACACGGCGTGTCGCACCATCCGTTGGACATCGGTCCGAAGCATCCTGACTCTGGGTAGACATAGACATGCTGATGGTTAGGTTGCAGGCCTTGAAACAAAAAGAGAGTGATGCTCTGAAAATCCACTGTTACATGGTCTGGGAGACACAAAAAAGAGTGTGGAGACGCTTTCTCCGTCAATCCGGACAGACAGACCTTCTGGAGATTGACTGACCTTCTGGAGATGTGAAGATCTACTCCTTAAGCGGTCTTAAAGGATTTCTAGGACTCCCTGGCCACTCGGGGATTGGCTTGAAGGACCTAGAAAAAAGACCATAACTTCAGATGTTCATCGTGAAAATGCCGAAAAGAACACACCAAGTAATAAATATATTATAGAACCAGATAAACATAATAAGAATATCCTCGTTGGGAATCAACACATCGTAATCCGCAATCAACCATTTTGAAGGATTTGACATCGTCTAATTACCAACCATCCGCTAGTTCGGGACTACATCATGCACAGTTCTGTTTTCTGTTTCAAAAACACATGTACAATCACAGCACCAATAGGCTTTGATGATGGCTATATAGTCTTTCTCTGGACTCAATGCACTGCTGAAGTACGCTTAATACTTCAGTGGGGAACGTAAATAAAAGCTTGCCATGTGCTACTCGCTGCTGGTCAACACAAATGTAATCAAAAGACCATCCAGCAGGCCTGATACAATCTGGCTCGTTTTCCAAAAGCACATACCCTTCGGATTTTGCCATACTTTGAGACACAAACTCCTTTGAGAACACTGTTGCAAAACAGGTTGAAGACATTCCAACGACATCTGCAGGCGCGCGTGCGCGCGGCGCGTGCCTAGGATCTTGTGCTTGGAGATAGCGAGCTGCACCAAGTGGCACACCTGGACCGGACTGGTGGGTCGTCTTGGAATCCGGAAACCACCACCATCAATTCCGCGCTTCTCACCACGTCTCTTTACAACCCATAGCTGCACAAACACTGGACCTACCTCACCCGTCTTTTCCTCAGACCCATCTCGGCGCCGCCACTCTGCGCTGGGCGAAGTGGGCCTCTCCCAAGGAGAAGCCCTCGAGGAAGTCAAGGCTTCGTTGCAACAACGCCTGGGCACACGAGTAGCGACCTCAGCAGCGAACGCGCAAATAAACGGAGGGGCTGAGAAGCGGGGCGGCGCAGTCCGATGAGAGGCACATGAGGAGGTAGTGGTGATTAAGTGAGATGAGATGAATTATATATATAGATAATGACGTGCGGATTGGTGTGGTTGAAATTATTGATTGTTTCATTGTATACTATTATGACATATCACGCTGCAACACGGAGTTATCTCTCGAAAGAACGCATATGGGAGTTGATCTAAATTCCTTTATCCGGGATCCGTCATTTTCGCCAAAAAAAATTTACTTTCGCCAAACTTTCGCCTTCCTGCGTTTTATCTTTCGCCGAAGTACGTTGTATTTATGTGTGCCATGTATGTTGTGCTTTGTTCACGTCAATGGCTTCTTCTTTACTGGCAAACACAAAATAGAAACTTCACTGTTTGTCAGCATGTGTCTTCTACTTAACTGTTGACACCCTGTACGTCTCTTTTGTTTCTCCTGGGTGTCAGCAAGAATCAAAATTGCAAGAATCACTGTAGTAGCCCCTCACTCAAACTTACTCATAATGGGCTGGGGGTCAGATGTGGCAGGGTGAACTTTCGCCAATCTTGAGCTGAACTTTCGCCAAACTTTCGCCTTTTGCGGGGTAGAGTTTTGTGGCAAAGCCACCCCCCAAAGCAGGAGCAGGAATAGTAGTAGTAGTAGTAGTCGTAGTGGTAGTGGTAGTGGTAGTGGTAGTCGTAGTAGTAGTAGTAGTAGTAGCAGCCGCAGCAGCAGCAGGTTATCTAACTTCCACAGCTCATCTAGCTTCTGAGTCACTGCCACCAGCTGCTCAGAAAGCAAATGAACATTCATACAAAAGTACATATTTAATCTTTCGCCAGATCTTTCGCCAAAAAAAAAATACTTTCGCCAACTCGAGAAAAAACTTTCGCCAAATGAGATTTTGATATGTTCCGGGTCATCGTCATACACACTGCTGACTAGGACCTTTAGATCGACAACCATATATATACATTAGACTGTTTTACAGTAAATTGACTGAAACAGTCTAGTTTTTGTTGTTTAGACTGCTGCTTTAAAGTAAATGGATATATAGTTCATTCTTGAATTACATGTTGGTCGATGAAGGACTACTGCACCTACAACATGCTTTGTGGCCATTTCAGGGCCCACATCCTACCAAACCAGCAAAGAGTTGCACCAAATACAGCTGCACATTGCTTTGTCATACAAAGTCCAAAACAGAATCGACAACCTCACAAACACATACGAACACCCTTTTCACCGCCATGTTTGAGCCCTAAAATTAGGGTGCAAAAACGGCGCTGGTCGCTGAGCTGCCACACCACCGGGCAGCAAGGCCTCCTCTTCCGGCAGCGTTTTGAAGTACCTTTCTAAGGCCATGGCCAGCGGCCAGCTTCTTCTCCAAAACCGGATCCCTTAAGGGCCGTCAAAGACCTCATTTTAGGAGCGATCGGACGCTACTATTGGTCATGCAAAAAAAAAAATTAAGGTAGAAGACATTAGAGACTGGGCCAGACAGGGATGCTTCAATCGCCGCAATACGGTGAGCGATGTTTCAGGTGAGACGATCATCAAATGCGCAAAAAGAAACGATTCCATGTGCCGGATGCTTCCATGGGGATTGGTTCGGGTCCGGACCTCTCCATTTGAGGGTACAGCCCCACTTAGGAGGGTCCAGGGTCGCGTCTGGGGGTGCCAAAAGACGATGTGCCAACTTGGATCTTGGACATTTGCAAGAGGATTGTTGGATGAACACCTACAAACTAATTTGGTGTTCCAAGTCGGAAGCTTCGCTCACAGCCCAAATCATGATTGGTCAACAAGAAATTGATGAAGGACACTTGAATCCACCAAATTGTCTGACATAGTAACGGTAATGCTGAGCAGTTGTGTGTGTGTGTGTGACCAACCTCATTGAGCTGCGCCTTTGCAACAAATCCGGGCGCACTGGGTTGCAGCATGCCAAATGGATGGAGCAAAGTCATCGGTGGTGCTATAGATGTCCACCTTGGAGCGAGCTGGGCTTGCAAAGAAAACACACTAGAGTCACTAGAGAACCACCCCGTACACCCTTCAAACCTAAGCTTAAAAATCCACGTTCTCTTTGTTTCTGATCAAACATGAGTTCCAACAAACTTCTATGTCCTGCAGCATGGGGATGCGAATTTGAATTCAACTCCATAACACGTTTGGTCTTACACTCCCCAGGTCTTGCAACAGAAGGGCAATGAGATGTCCAGGCTGGTTGGCAACACTCCAATGTCCAGGCTGGTCCCCTGATGTGAATCTAGGACAGCAGCTGTTGATTCATCAACCTGTATCCCCCGGTCAAACGGCCCGTCCAGTCTGACCAATATTTTAGCCTGGTCAAGCTTATGGTACCTTCTTTGTAGTGTTTTGTATGACCAACTTCAGTAACATGAGGTCATTGACTTGTAAAGTCCATATCAAAACTTTCGTTAATCGTCGACATTACGAGGTCCCCTGCGACCATTGGACCCATTGATCCTGAGTTGTTTCTAATTTATAGATGTATGATGATGTATGGAACCCCCCTGCAGGACCTAGGTTTTTGAATGCTTGAATACTTTCTGGTGGTATTGGTATTTGTGTCTATAGCATCTATATAGATGGCAGGACTTGGTTTCAGGACTCTTCTCCACCGTGCCGTGTCACCAGCTGTCCCTCCTTGCGCTGTCGACCCCTCCTCTGACAACTTGATGACAGCGGCTGTGGTATGCTGTGGTGGACCCCAGATTCAATATAGATATGGTCCTGTTCAACCGATTAAAACAACACTTATGTTTATGTTTTATTTTATTTTTTCAATCCCTCTGACTTAAACAAACAATGGGCCTTCCTCAAAAAGACCTAACATGACCTAACCCACCCAACCGCTGTCCGCAGCAAATAAACCCCACATCCCACCCGATCGATCCGCTCCTCCAACCGGACTGGAGAACGGAATGAACAACACCGGACCTGACTCGTCACCCGTCATCCAGAGCACGCCAAAAGACCCCGTGGGGCTGGTTGTTTATATGCCACATGATGGTCTATGCATAACCACTGACATGTCGGTCAATCATCGTCAGTCTGCCAGTCCCGGATCCCGAAGACCCTTCCGCATCGCAACTGCCCTTCCCTTAAACTCGCTCCATCCCCCCATCGATGGGCGCGCGATGCAGGAAACCACGCGCGTTTCGCACACAAGTTTCCGCGCGGAGGTTTCCTGCGATATGCCATAGGGGCCGAGGTGCGAAGTGTTGGCTGCGATCTTTGAAGGTGGCGGACCAATCACCGCCCTCCTCGGGCCTTGGCCGGTGGATCAAAAGCCTTTCGCTGCGAAACGACAGGGTTGAAGTACCTGTCGCGCCGGAGGAAGGATCCCTTATAACAAATGGTCTGTCAAACTTATATGTACTTGGACCATCCTATGGGCGTCGACTGGACATCCTTAGGTAATGTAGGGTGGTCCATTGGACACCCAGTGGATCGCCCGGGTATATTCCCCAAACAGTGTGATGAAATCTTGCAGTATAAGGGTTAAGGATGGGTGTCTGATCGAGGTGTTCGCATCCGTGTCCGGCTAACTCACTGCTATTTGCAGTATTTACCTTGCAATCTTCGAAATGCATTTCGACTGCGCAGGCTCGCAAAATCAGGTGGGCCGCGAGCACGTGCTCTTCGAGACTGCGCTCTCGTTGTGGTGCAGTGCACTCGTGCACATTTTTGGACAATGCTGATCACTTTTCGTGGCAGGCCCGGGGAAAACTCATCTTTTGGTGGTCCAACGTCGACTTTTCGTGACAGGTGCAGATCTGTTTTACGTCGATGAGCTGTGATATCGTGGCAGGCGCAGTACTTTGGACATGGTTGTCTGATTTCGTGGCATGTGCAGTGAGTCGTGACTTTCGGACATGTGGCTTGTTTTTGCAGGAAGTCTTGAGCGAAAGCTGAGTTTTGGCATCACGTTGTCTTTGGAAGTGCTCTTGCTGCGAATCACCTTGGCAGGGCTGCATGATGTAAATCTTGATGCGCAGATTTCGTGGGAGGCGTAGTTTGTGCACAGCTTGAAGCACAGATTCTGTGGCAGGCGCAGCACTTTGTGAACCTCGAAGTGCACATCTAATACCAGGAGCACTTGACCTCCCTGGTCTTGGTGCAGGTCTTCTTCGATGATGATGACTCTTCTTTTGTCGGTGCTCTCGCCAGCATCCTGAAGTAGTTCCGGGTAGTTCCGGTATGGGCAGCATTGTGCTTGGAATGCCACCTGATCTCGCTTTTTCAAGCCAGGTAGTGATACCAGCAACTCATCGCCTCCTCCTCAAACTCCTTCCCATCCTGCAGGCATAGTCAATTCGCACGATCCTGAAATACAACACTGGCATATTGACCTACAGATTGAATCATTTGGATCATTTGGATGGTTGTCGGGGGTCAATGTAGACAACAAACAGGGCTGCGGATTTTTGACGGTATATATTATGTTTGCTTTGGGGGGTGGCTTTAATCTTTTGAGTTGTATATAAGTAGTTGGATTTGTCTTGAGACCAATTTTAGTTTACTGGTAATTTAAAACTGTCCTTCAAATGTTACTGTAGATGTTCTCTTTAAATGTATTTTTTAATTTGTTTTTAACATTTTCCAAATTTACTGTTGAATTCTCTTGATCTTCTATTGAACATGTGTGTTCAAATTTCATGTTGAATACATTTCCTCTTAAAATTCCTGTCAATTTTCCATGTAAAAAAACTCTGTTGAAATTCATTTTGTTTATGTCCTTGTCATTTGTCCTTTTCAATTTCCTGAAAGCTTCTAAAAATTTCATTTGAAACATTGTTTGTAATGTTCCTTTTCATTGTCCCTCTTTTTTTGCTTTTTATATAATCGTCCTTATAAACTTCCTTTTAGTTTACTGTCTAGTTTAAACACTTCCTTGAAAATTTCCTTTAATTTTCACTTGCATCTTTTTAAGTTGTCCTTTTCATTGTCCTTCAAAATGTTATGTTAATTGTTTTATTGTCCTTTGGCATTTACTATGGAGTTTCCTTTTAAATTTCATTGTGAACATCCTGTTTAAAGTTTCTTTAGAGGTCCTTTGAATTTTCCGTTCAAATTTGCTGTCTTCCAAATTTCCTTTTTACATGTCCTTTTCTGATGGACCTGGAGAAACTGATAGAAACTGGCTTTGGAATCATCTCCTTTTGGATCTGCTCGTCATCTGATGGACCTGGAGCAACTGGACTTGGATTGGGCCCATTGGGAGTAAAACTGTACAGTCATGACCGGCGAACGAAGTTCCTTTAACATTTTTGAGCACCGCAGGGCTTCCGGCTGAAGAACATGAAAAATCAGCCGAGCCATGTTCTTGTTGTCCAATGAACAAATGAACCGAGTCATCTTATGCAAAGATTTTGCACTTCCCCGACTCGCGTCCTGCATGTCTTGCTTGGCATCGCCTGCAGCTTTTCCCTTGCTTCTGGCCCCAGGTTTGGCAGATCTTGTTGCAGTGGACTCTGCACGATGGTCTAGTGCCCAATAGGTCCTCTGACTTGCCAGCCCGATGAAATGCAAACAGCACATAAGAGGAATGCCAGCGCTGACCACTCAGGGTCCAACTCAGAGTGGGAAATGGACAATGAATTGAACCGGCTCTTGCTGGCCTTGGTCCCCTTTGTCCGGACGCAGTCCATGTCTGGCAATAGTTTCAAATGGAATTGGTACAGGCTCTTTGAGATGATAGACATCTAAGAATGCCGCTGGAGCGCCCGAGTCCATGGTGCAATGATAGGCGGCGGAGGCGGCAATGCATCTGGAGCGGCAGGGTGATGTTGGAGAATCTACTCTCTCTGTAGGCACTGGGGTTGGAGACTTGCTTGAACGTGCTGTCGAGGGTTCCAACGACTTCTTAGAACTCCTCAACTAACTAAACTCCTCATATAGTTCCTTCTAAACTCTCCGTCATATATATGATTTTATATGTCCTTCTAAGTATACTTTTAACATATTTTACATGTCAGTTTAACTTTCATTAAATTTCCTTTGAAGTGTACTTGTAAATGTACTTTCAAATGTCCTTTCAACTTGTCCCTCAAGTTTCCTATTGATTTAATTTGTTTTACAATTTCCTTCTAAATGTCCCTTTCCATTTTCCTTCTAAATGTTCTTTTAAAATTCCTTCATTCCTTTCTTCTTTCCTTGCTTCCTTCCTTCTTTGCGTCCCACAGCTAAGCCTAAAGAAAAATATCTACAACTGAAGAAAGACATATTCAACTCAAATATACACCCCAAAAGAAGACCGTCCCATGCAGTCCGCTCCGCCTGGACGATCGATCGACGATCCAGGTAGCTTTGAGCTGCGCGTGTGGAGATGATCACACGATGACTTCATCGAATTTCACTTCAGGTGACTCAGACATGAGAAAATCACATCGACGTGTTTCTTCCGTTGAACAAAGACTTCACTGCCTTGCAATCAAGATATCAAAGGGGCTACACTGACTGGACTGGATCTGACTGCTCAGTTTCGCCCCACGTGTCCCAGTCCAAACCGAGCAACGTCAGCAGCAAGGACTCTGAGGCTTCGCAAACCTCTCGGAGATGCCTCGAGGTGGTGGTGAACAGAGTGAACAGATTTCAGGAGTGCTCTACGTGCTGGTCCCTGGAGTTTTCCTGATGCAGCTGATCCATCAAGTCAGCTGATGTGGCGGAGTGGGATGAGGTGATGTTTTGAGGGTGTTGGGTGTCAGCAAACCCTCAGATTTTCCAATGCCCTTTGAGTTGGTGTTCTGGGTGTGCATGGTCTTGTGAATGGTAATTATGAAATGCTTGTGGTAAGAAGCCATTCGGTTGTACGACGACAGTCTGAAGGGCTGCACAATCACAAGCTTCTACATAAAGCTCAGGATGCGACCGTGGAGATCTGCATGGGTGACGCAAACTCAAAACCACCATAAAAGGACATGAGTCAATGATCCGATGGTTGATTGGTGGCGGGTGCCATTTGGAGGACCAAAAACATTCAAAAACTGGAGCCCCAAGACATGTAGCTTGACCTTCCAGGTATGTGCATGGTCAACCAAGGTATCCTGGTTTTGACACATCAAGCCATTGTCATGCAACCTGATTCACCACCAGCATCTCACCCAGCTGTGCCAAGATCCCGGCTGCACGTCCACGTCCGGCAGCTCCATACGTCCTGCAGCTCCATTCGGTCTCCGTCGTCCGCAGTCCGACGGCTTGAATGGCAGACCCATGGGTCTCAAAATCCTTCTGGGAAATTTAACATTTGTCGAATTCGTCCCTTTCCAGAAGGTGGTTTTGGGGTGGGTTTTAAGTTATCCCAAAGTAGGGTCCGAAGGGTTTTGTCGGATCCAGGGCATGTGAGGATCAGAAAACTTAGATTCTCCCACTCCAAATGCAGGGATTCCGGGCCAACCCCCTCTGTGACCACTTCAAGGTGCCCTCTTCCAATCCCCAAACTCTTTGGACTTCCCAACTTCCTACACGACACTCAACAACCTCAACAACCTCAACAAATTCCATGAAGAGCATCTCTGATCCCAAAGCGTCCTGCCACGAAGGGCTCCACATGGCGCTCGGCCACGCGCTTCCGGAGGATGCGGCCTCGGGGGGTCCAGTGTGGGGACCGTGGAGCCGAGGTCGGCGACGTCGGCTGCAGGTTGGAGAGGTTGGAGATACAGAGTTTGTTGGTGGATGGGGTACGGAATGTTGTTGTTTCACCTTGCTGTCTCTTTCTAACTGACCTCCAACCGCTTTGCGGCTCTATTGAAGGCCAACAAAAAGGTCTGCTGAAGCGTCACAACAACCCCAAATTGGACGCAACTGGTTTCCAAGTATAATCGGAACCTCTATGTCCATTCATACAATAAACTACAATTATAGGAAGATTCCATTCGGGGGTATCCATATTCCATGTACATTAGCTATAATATAGACTGTTATGCAAAATGATGTTGATCAAAATCATGTAGAATTCCTACCTCTTCCCTGCTCCTACCTCTTCCCTGCTAATCGTCCCGTCTGATATATAGTGGGATATTCTTATGTGCTCTTTTGCTGGTTGCTTGCCCAGCGACAAACCAGCCAGTTCAGAATGTAGTGTCTGATCTATTTCAAAGGAGGCCTCTGAAACTGTTGATTCATCATCTCATGTTTCAATGGGGACGAGATCCCTACAAAGACTCTTGGGACAGCAAACACATACAAAAATCCAAAAAAAAAAAGCAACTATGAAAACACACCAATTCTGTCAAAACATGCATGTTCTGAGGGCAGACTTCTTCTTTCTCCTGGTTCGGAATCGCACCCCTGAACAAACACACCCGCAATAACACAAACATGCCATGTCAATCTTGGAGCCGCACCGAAAGGCTTCAGCTTGTCTTGATATAGACTTTCTATACACTGAAGCACCTGATCATCGGCTCGACTTGAGCTAATGTGGGGCATACCACTACCCTTCAACAAAGGCAGGAATCCCAACAAAGGAGCCATAATGTGGGGTACCAACCTGTGAACAAACCTAAAAACACAACACATCAAAGCTGCACGCGGCTGCTGGGCAAAAGCAGCTGGGGGAGCATGTTCCAAAATCCGTGAGAGATGGCAAAGCCAGCCACGAAACGTACTGAAGAATCTCCTAACAAGGAGACGGCAAACACCCTCGACACGCAGCATTTACAATCGCCCGCAGGTCGGCTTTCAATTTCAATCAAGCACACCTTTTTCCAGGAAACTGCTCTCCATGGAAATTGGAACTCTTTCAATTGGCACGGATGAAACTAAACTAGCTCTACGTGTTCCCACAGCAACTTGAGGCAGTCATTCTTGCTGCACCTCCCTAAAACAACGGATATTCGTTGATCCTATGGACCTCGTCTTTCCACTTGCTTCGACGGTCCGAATACAACATCACACGTCACGTGCCTCGTCCTGCTCCGGCTTGATGCCTGCCAAAATATCTCCCGGACTCCCAAGGTCCTTCATTTTCTGAGTTCATCTAAGTTCCGAGGTTGATGTTTCTTTTAAACATTGGGAAAGAGACAAAAACCACCATTCCAACGGACAACAATATATGCACCAGTTTTCCTCTGTCTGTTATTCTCCAAAAAAAAGCGCAGAACATCCGCAAAAAAACAAAAACGACACCCGTTCTTCCAAACTGGAGATCAACCACTTGGCACTCCACAACCTGTGCAGCTTGTGCATGCAATGTACCCCTAAAAGGCCAAAGATCACAAATTGCTATGTGCCCTGTAGCCAACCGAATCGGCCTTGGCGCACGTTTGGTACCGTGGTCAGGGTCCAACAATACGTCATCGAGCACTCTGTTACGTTCTGGACCGACGCCGTTGACTTTGGCTGTTTCGCCGCCTGTTTCGTGGCGAACTTTTTGGTGGGCACCGACCGTAGCACTTTGGATGGTCTACATCAAGCATTGGAGAAGCAAACTCTGAGTCGAAGCACGTCTCAGTCGACCACCTCCAAAGCCTCACTCGTAGCTTCATTCCGAAGTGGTGACTTCTACAGAGGTGTGTGCCACAAAGAATCTTTAAAAGCGAACTAAACAGTTGGGTCCGGCTTGGTGGATGTACTACCCAACCACTCTAAGGCGCACATCCCGTCACAAGGTGGTATCACGTCACGTTGTTCCACCAAGAGCGTGGCACCACTAGAGCTCACATTTGGACATTCTATACCAGCACCTTCAAAGGGGTCACCAGGCTGGAAGCCCCTACACTACCTAGGGATCTCCATTGGACACCCCTTGGAAGGTCCAGGCATGTTTGTGTATTTGTAGAGGGAGACCCCCCCGATCAGCCCTGGCTGGGACGAACCGAGGGGTGTCCCGAGCGACGTCCCGCTAGGCGCACCTTGCGAAGCACGGCTGGCACGCTTGGGCTTGGTGGCGGTCGCCTGGCTTCCGATCAAAACCGGATTGGGGCGGCTTCTTTGTAGTTTAGTTTTGTGAAAGAAAGACCCTTGGATTTATTATAATCTCTGACTTTCATTTGGTTCTTAGGTAGTTGACATCACCTCCAATATGTTGTGGGTCTATGATTTGACCTTGAATAACAGCCTCGAAGCATCGCGAGGTTTAGGGAAGGTTTCAGGAAATGATACAGTACCCAGAGTCTTTGGAAGATCCAATCCTGGCATGGCTGGCTAGGGCTGGAAGACAACTGTAGTCCCCTTTCTTTCTTTGCGTTCCATGATGAATATCTTGCGTTCCATATCCTTACGGTTAACATTGGCCCCAATCTCCTGTGCATCATTGAACACCTTAGACCCCCATGTAGTGAACAAATCGCACCCAACATGGTTCCGACCAGCGTCCTACGTAAGCGGTGTAAGCCTTTAAGTCTAGATCGGTATATCGCATCACCCTATCTACAGCAGATGATGGTTAGGTTGCAGGCCTGGACCCGACTACCACTGACACACAAAACCGCCCTCTACAGGAAGATCTCGATCACAGCCCTCAGAACTGCTCTCTTCCAACGGCACACAAAGAGATCCCCTCCTCGTTGGCGGCCTGAGTGCAGGGGAAAGACGGAGAAGCGTCCCGAAGCCAGTTGGGTAGCGAGTCACGCAAATATTCATATATCCAATAAGAAGAACCCTCCTGATGAACTGGCATATTTCAAAATAGATCTAGGCTGGAACCGGGAATACTCTCACAAAATCCTTGAAGATCCCATCTCATCATTGTCATTGTGAGTGAGACCCTACTCCTTGCAGCAGTCATCACAGTTGAATCCTAATCACAGCCCGTTCTTTTGAAGTGGTTTGAGCACCGAAGATAGGTGACGGTGAAATCATGTCCACTTGTAGGTCGCATATAATACATATATTGAAAGAAAACTACTTTTCCTGGAACTAACATGGAGAAAGGAAGACGATGCTCCTCTACAAACAGGGTCGACCTAGCCATGATAGTTCCAGAGTGTGTATCTGTCATATCTTTCAGCTCCAAAGTCTCTTAGAGGTCCAAAAGACAACATACCAAGCCTTACCAAACTGCAAGCAAAAAATGCTGGCGGCAAAAGAGACCAAACAAACGTGTTTCGGATTTTCCTATTTAATGAATTCCCATATCACGTATCGCTTGTTCTCCATCAGGATAGCATCATGCTCCTACGAGGGATTTCACTACGACGTCTTTGCCAACACAGCTGCCAGAAACTCCCTGCGGGCAGTGTTCGAAGAAATGCGGGGTCTGAAGTAACAGCCTGAACCTAGAACGATAAACCATACATGTTCTGCGCAAAAGATCTGACATAATCACCTGACAGACCCTTGTAAACGTACTTAGGAACTAAGGGATCTAGTGTAACGTCACATGCTCACGGTACATCGAGTTTGTGTACCTCCCAAGGACTCCAAATGAACATGGATCATAGATGCCTATTTATCAAGTGATGAACAAAGATTTCGGCAGGGATGCAGGTGTTGGGGCAGCTGTCCCCCAAGCTAGGTGTAAAACTATAAAATAAGATTCACTACATGCAAGGGACCATTGAATCTATCTCTAAACCAAATTGTCCACCTGCACGCCAGATATGTTTGCAGAACACCATTGCAAACTTGAAGAGACTCATTGCCCCTGAGCCTAGGATACATGCAGTGGCTGCCAAGTACTACTTGAAGGAACCCTTCTAAATCTTTGGTTGCGCAGAATTTGATTCATCTTTAACCACATCTGGTGTTTCTCCCCAAGTTGCTACTGGCTCAAAGGATCTGGTGGTGCCGGAATCTTCAGATGTCTTCCATCTTGGGGCTATCATATAACATTATGATACCCAGATCTGTCAAAAAAAAGGATCTAATGAGACATCATTTTACTTCATCGGTCCTCACATTGGGCCTTCCCAGATCGGACGTCGCTGCATTCGCCGCCCACCTCTTTGGCATCGTCGCTCCTTCGTGTCCTGGAGCGTTGACCCCCGGTGGATCCCGGTGACTGGGTTGTCAAAGTAAAGAACACTGCAAGCATTACAGTGTAATATGTACCAGCTTCTTCAAAGTGACCTTTTGAAGGTTCCTAAGTGACCCTGCTCGGAGGCTTGAGTGACCGAACCAACCAGGATATCAAAAAGTCACGTTGAAGAACCAGGTGCAGACCTAAAGTTTGACCTCTAATAGGGAAACAAACACCTATTTTGGGGTGGTTGTTGATGTGAAAAAAAACATCAAGGCCACTCAGGTTCTAGGTGTGGATATGATATGGCTTATATATATATATACACGAGGGGGTTTGGTCATGCAAAAAATCATCAATGAGACTTCTCCCAGTCACTTCAATTGGTCAAGTTCAGACTCTCTGTGCTGACCGAATCTGGTAGTAGAAGAGCTCTGTCTGATTGCTCCTTGGAATCATGCAAATGAATACCACCTGTTTGGTTTTCGGACAATGGTCATCCGAAATCGGGGTCATTCCATCCGTAATCGTGATGATTCCAGGGTGAGGGTACTGCTCTTGAGGTTCAACTAACTCGACCAATGGTCCGAACGGCACCCCCACAAAGGCCTTTCAGAGGGACCGAACCGACCGACTCGCTTCATCGACTTCAGCGGAGCAGTGACACTCAGGCGCTGTTTGGCTGTTGATCAGTGACTCTCCACAGACATATGGGTATATATGGGTGTTGGAACTGCTTTCCAGGTCTTTGCTGCTCCAACCAGGGCTTTGGGTTGGAACAAGTCCCTGCCTGACAGGTCATTCTACGCCTGTTAATCTCAACCATTCTTTACTTCGGATACAATTAATGATCCAAACGCGTCGCCACGAACGAACAAGTGTCCGTTCTAAACGACCCCGTCGCCCCTCGGTTCTTTTTAACCCCGGCCTGCCACCCCGTCGGCGGACTCCGCCCATGATCTGCGCCTGGAAGTGGGACAAACGACGTTTCGGTCATTTCAAGGTTCACAGGTTCACCGAAGCAGGGCGTCCCCTTCCATCCCCACCAAGTTAGGTGGTCGCTGGCCCTTGACTGGTGCAACGAGACTGCGGAATTGGATCTTGGATGTTCTTCAAAGGCTCATTGTGACTTGTGCTGGACAGGAACCAAATTCCGCCAATTGCACGCGGAAAACACACGATTCGATCTTTAAATTTGGATGTTCATTTAAGCAATCTCTCTTCAACTTCAAAAAGTGTGAGGTTTTGTCCAGCTAGACATGATGGGTTCAATCTCTCCGGTATCTGTTTGGGGTTCATGCTGCGCAGCTGGCTTCGCCCCATTGGAGGAATCGCTCGGTGTCGAATCTTCAGAAAGAGCCGAAATCGGAAGTCTCTTGAAAGCCTGATCTTTGCTTGCTTGCTTGCGTCCACTCAAAGCGTTCGGCACGTTCCTTTACTTAGTAAAAAGAAAACAGAGGCCTCGCTGTAGTGTTGAAAGCCTGATCGCCCTGCCAAACATCTTCCAGCGCTGAGAGGCCCTGATGACGAGGCCCTGAGAGGTCCGTTCCATGCCACTGATGACTGGAAAACCACACGGTGTCAACGAGTGTCAACGAGTAACGAGTCACTGGGAATGGAAGCCTCCCGAAACTACATTCCGCGGACCAACCTTTTCGAGTTCATCACTTCACTCCCTAGAGATCCCTAGAGATCCAGTCGTATCCCCTCTCAGGTACTTACTGAGGACGGAGACACTGTGGCTAGGTGCCAGGACGTCGGGTCCAGTCGTACCTTCGGTTTGGACTGGAATCCGTCCCTTCACTCACGGAGCCATGGCGCCTCACTCGGCCGTGTCGGAACGCAGACGCGGCCGCCGCCCCAGACTTGAGATGAAGCCAGGCCGGAGAAAGGTGGCCCACGTGTGACAGGGTCTGCGAGCAAGGGAAAAGGAAAAGAACATAACCATGCTTTTTATGTAAATGATCTGCTTTTACTGTTTTCATTAGAAGATACGTTTTGAACATTGAGTTGCCTGATTTAGATTTTTTCCATTAGAAGATACATACCAGGAAGTATGATCATTGAAAGCTATAACAGTTGTCAATTATCACTAGCCTCAAGGGTTTTGGTTTATTTCAATTAGGTGGTGTTCAGGTGCAAATAAGTTTTGGGGTGATTTGGCTTCTTGGATTTTGACCTTGAAGGCTCGAGCTTGCAGACTTTCTGAAAGTGAGCTTGCAGAGGCCCGGAATAGGCCAGAAAGCTAGACAAAGGCCAGGGCTAGGCCAGAAAATGCCAGAAAGCTTCAAAGGTTCAGTTTGCAAAGGGCAGGGCTAGGCCAAAAGGGTTGAAAGCTTGAGCTTACAAAGGCCAGGAAAGGCAAGAAACCTTAAGCTTGCAAAGGCTATGAGTAAGCCAGAAAGCTTGAAAGCTTAAGCTCGCAAAGGGCAGGAAGAGGCCAGGAACCTTTTGACACCTTGAGCTTGCAAATCCCTATATTGCAAGCGCCAACAAGAGTCAAAAGTTAATTAAACATGAATGGATGGGGTGTAGGGCGTGACCGGTATTTAAACAATATTGTATTTATATTGCAAGAATGCGAAAAAGGCTTCATTGAAACATGAATCGATGGAGTGTAGGGCGTGGACGGTAAAAAATTCACTGTTTGTTCCACTTAACTACCCTTCGGCCAACATTTGTCTAGGGCGCCACTTCGTGTCGAACCCTAAAGCCCTAAACCCTCAACCCCTGATAAACCGAACTTGTATAGCTCTGACAAACGTATAACCACACCCCGTTTCCAGTATTGAGTCCACCAACCTTAACAAACCCTAAACACTAACACTTTCCTAACCTTTGCACTAAACCCAAACGATCCTTCACACCTACCCCTATAAATCCATTACTTTCCCAAACCCCAACTCATTATCTTTCCAACGCTTGACCCTGACCCATGTTATTGCCTGTCCCCCTTCAAACCTTTTTCAATTCTACCAATTGCACCATGCACAAACCTAGATCTTTATCCTTATTTTTCACAGCAAAATTGGTCTACAAAAAGGCTCTGTATAGCAAAATTTGTCTTTTTACATAGCTTTCTATAACAACATTAGTCTACAAAAAGGCAGGCTTTGTATAGCAAAGTCCACCGAAAGGCTTTCGATAGGCTTTCGGTAGCAAAATTGGTCTGCAAAAAGGGTTTATACAGCAAAATTGGTTCACTGAAAGGCTTTCAATAGCAAAATTGCTAGACAAAAGGGCTTTCTACAAGAAAATGGATCTGCGCAAAGGCCTGCTTTCATTTCCTTTATAAAAGTTGCCTTTTCTAGTTCTACAATCTTGTTTCATTTTTCTTTGCATTTCCTCTTAAACTACCACGAAAAGGTTAAAACAAAAAACCACACAAAACCCGCACAAAACTTTGGAAAGAAATTGCTAGGTTTGGGACTGTTGTGGCTTGATTTGTCTGTGAATTGTTCGACTCTGGACATAAAATCTTGGCTCTGCAGGGAAATATATGCCACTGCACACATACTCTCATCAAAACTCTCATGCCACCTTCGAGGTTTAGACTGCAGGTGGCGTCCACCATCGTCAAGAAAAAGGATACCCTGTGCCAAAAGCCTTGTTTGGCACAGAAATCTATATAATTCTACAGCAACTCCCTCATTCGGATGTCCTCCGTAGGGCCAAAATCGCAAAAAACAACACCCCTCTGCTCAAAGGAGCCACGTGGTCACTGCGTGCTCACTGCTCCAAGAGCCACTGGACGCGGCCAGATGCTACAGCCGGCCACAACACTATGCCTTGGTCACAAAGCAGTCCAAATCCATTGGTGCATGCACTTCATCGCCACCCTGCATCTTCAAGCGGTAGGCGTTGCACTCGTCCCACTGGCGCACCACCACACCTCGCTCCCAGCCATTGGGCCCTTCTCCAGTTTTGGCCTTGATCTTGGTACCCACAGCGAAGCGCAACGGCTTGGTCATCAGGCAGGATTGGAAGCCTCAACTGGTCTCACAGTTCGGGAGTGCACACGGTATACAATCCGTAACAAATACAGGTATACATGTGTGTGCACACACCTTTATATGTATTCTCTATGCATAAAATCATAAACTATGTGTGTAATATATATATATGCAATTATATGCATACGATATTTATACATATTCATGCATCACAACAGACTCTAACATGACGTTCGCTTCCCACTCCCCGTCGTTTCTCTCCATCCCGACCTTCTGTCAACTCTCGTCGCCGCGGCTGCATCCCACGACCGATGAAAATGATGCGGTTCTCGCGTTTTTCTTGAGGCCCCCAAGGCTCGGTAAAGCCCTGGTTCCGAAGCATGTGCACGCATTGGAGCACAAACTTCCGATCGCTGCCAGCAATATTCAAAACTGCCTTTACTCGCAAGAAGTCTTTGGCTGTCTCCTCTTCGTCCAAATACCGGTCCAAGAACTGTTGGAAGGCAAACATCATGACCTGACCCTCACACCGGACCCCCACGTTGGAGACAGACTTGTCCATTTTGGGACGATAATGCTGCATAAACTCCGCTTCATCCATGTACTGCTCCTCCAAGACCTTATCCAAATTAAAGCATCCCACATTGAAGAGGCGATTCATGGGTGCCCTGGACTGCTGACAGGGGATGATCTCCACTGCACCATTCAGCTCCTTGATTCGCCGTGTCACCTTAGTAGCGGTGGCCTCCACCCTAGTAGCGATGGCCTCCAACCTAATAGTTCCTTGATTCGCCATGTCACCTTGTCCAGCTGCGTCTCATCCACCAGGTCGATCTTGTTCAACAGCACCGTACTGGAGAAGGCGATCTGAGCACAAGCGGTGCCCTTCTCGGGGTCACCTGGCCAGGGGATGAATCATCCAAAAAGGATAAGGATTTGTCCATTGGGTGGACTTAAAGATTATGATTATATATCGTTCACATCGCAAACATAGACCTCCCCTCCCCCCATTCGTGGATTTTGGGGAGCCCAACATTTGTTCGTCGTAATGATGCACTACTCACAATATTAAACCTCAGACCTTAAGACAATGACAGTATTCTTTTATTACTATTGTGTCCAATTGATCGAATTTAAAAGCAATTCAACAACTAATTATTTCAATCTGGAAAGAGGTTTAATGATTATTGGCAGGTGTTTATAATTGTATGTTTTAGGTCTTCACAAGGGGTACTCTTGCGAACACTTGTTGATTTTGACTATTTTATGTTATTGTTTGAAATAAGGATGTTATAAGTAATTTGATTGTTGCTAGCTAGGTTCAAACATTGATTTAGCTGAGACAATGTAATAAGTTAGCTTTAGATTTGAATAACGCTAATGAATTAAATTAGTATTTAGTCAATTAGTTAGTTTTTAAAGGCATTTCAAGTAGGTTGACAGTATATATATACACTTTATAATTGACACTGTTTGTTTTACTATTAGATTGTTGTTTGCCACATTTGGGTTTACAATTGCATCACTCTTTAGACTTTTAATGTACTGAAAAATATTGGAAGATCGGGTTATTATTGACAGTCGTTCATTTCGCAGTTTATTATTATGGTTTCGGAGGCCCGGAGAGTTTGAGGTTTATCATTGACTCGTAGTTCATGATGCAAACATTATTAGCTTATATTACTATACTATAACATTTTTATAACCCTTGCACTTTAGACTCGGGTCATGGGTGCACACGCATGGACCTCTGCTCTCATCCAACTTTTCGAGACCATGCTTGGCATCCACCAGTGCCACCACATTGTCCACCATAAAGGTCGATTGCACCTGGCGATCCACGATGAAGGTCTGCACCACAGGGGCAGGGTCGGCCATACCTGTGAGTTCAATCAACACACCATCCAGTTTCAACTGGCCACTGGTGTATTTCCTGCCAATGTTGTGTAGGGTTTTGATCAAATCACCTCGAACTGTGCAACAAATGCAGCCGTTGTTCAACAAAACCAGCTCTTCCGCCATGTCTTCGTGTTTCTGTTCCACCAAAGCGTCATCGATGCTAACCTGAGCAGCGTTCCTGCTTGAGTGGATCAAAATGGTTGATCCCCATCTATATCATCTATTCCAATACTAGTAACAATGGCATCGCTACTAGTAGCTAAGGGCATCGCTACTAGTAACAAGTGCATTAATTACTACTAGTAGCAAAAAGCTACTAGTAGCGGTCCATTAAAATCTTTGGGAACCGCTCGCCTCACCAATCTCATTTTCGATGACTGCCAGCTTCTTGTCTTGCTGCTCTTTCAGGATATAATTCAACAACGTTGTTTTGCCAGCACCCAAATAGCCAGTGAGCACCGTGACGGGCAAGCGGCTACGAGGATGACTGTTGCTATAGCCATGGCTATGGCCATGGTCACCTTCTTCCACCTTCTGCCTCTTCTCCATTACGTTCTTGTGCAAGCTTGATCCAACTGTCAAACTGCGAGGTTGGCTCCGCACGAAAGAAGACATACAAACATCTCTGGCATGATTCTTCTGTTCATCTTCACTGTCCACTGGCAGCACGAAAATGACTGACACAAAACGTCGACTTGAGAACGTGCACATGTCGGTGGAGTCATAGAGTCATGCATCACCAATCGAGAGAGTCTGAGGGCCCCAGCTTCTTCAGTTCGTGACCTTGTGAAGGTTCCTTTAAGTGACCCTACTCGGAGGCTTGTTCGTTACACGAACTGAAGAACCAGGCCCTTGACTCCTCTTCTATCTTTCAAATTTGCCCAACGAATCTCACTTTTCATCCGCGGGGGCTGCGGCTGTTCAATCACCACACGGGGTCGTGCAGGTGCTATGGCGGAGCTCTCTTTGGGCGCTGCCGGTGGAGATGGCGGTTGGAAGCCGGTGGAGATGAAGCCTGGCACTGCCGGTCTTTCGAGGTTGTTCCTGGGTTGACGGGTGTGTGGTATGCGAAAGTCATAGACTTTCTGGGAGACTTTCTGGGCTGCACTCAGAAAGAAACTCATCAATCTTAGGACGCTATTAGGGGCTCTTGGCATCGCTACTAGGAGCAAGGACGCCGAACGGGGCTCCTGGCCTTACTACTATAGGAACAAGAAGCTACTAGGAACAAGGGCTACTAGTGCAATCGCTTCTGCTCCCCAAACTTCCACCTGGCAGGGAGATACCCCTCTTCATATGCCTAGTAGCATCCTTGCTCCGTTCTTAGCGATGCCCTTTGCTCCTAGTAGCGTCCTTACTCCTAGTAGTAAGGCCAGGAGCACCCAGTAGCATCCTTGCTCCTAGTAGCAAGAAACTTGACAAAAACACTTGCCGGAATTCCTATCATCAACTCTCCTCACCGCGTGCGCAAACAAAGAACACGCGCCAGTCTCAGACTGCCGACCGTGGGCTCGTCGACGTTCGCACCTCGACTTGAGGTTGGCGACATGGACATCTCACACTCCGACTCAGGGGGCGCCGACCTGAGAAAGGACCGGCGAAACTGCAGTGGTACGACAAAACGGTAAGGACCGCACCCGAGTTGAAGATGGTGGGTTTAGGGCGAATTCTGATGGTTTTAGTGTTGCCCCGCTGTTCAATGAAACAATCATGCTCTACAGGGTCAAGGACATTGGAATATTGAATTGTATTTTCACACTGTTCTACCACGTGGACCAACAGTCAAACACTACTCACTACTCGTTTGGGATATCTTTGAGTAGCACACGGTTCCTGAGCCCTCCATTTGTCAGTTGAAAGGCCAAACAACCCACCTGGCTGGATCAAACTCTAGCACGCTTCAGTCACTAAGCCCTACCCCAAAAGCGGACCCGTTCGTTTAACACACATGATCACTCCGGCGTGACACGACCGCTCGGTTTGAACACCGGCTTTGACGATCGAAGAAGCGGTTCACCGAGACGTTTCTCTTCACCGAGACGTTTGTCGAATGATTGGGCCTTTTGTGGGTCCAGTTCAAACATGTTCACACATGTTCACACCAGTCCCCTTCGCGAAAACGTCGACCTCCTCTGATCGAAGCATGAGGCTCAACTGATGTCAGCAGTCCGAGTAGCAGTCCGCTGTTGTGCGACGCTAGGAGCCGAAGTTTGCTTTCCTCAGACTTTTGAAGCTACAAACGGGGCGCTCCTGGCACTACTAGGAACAAGAAGCTATTAGGTCCGAGGCCATTTTTATGAAGGTAGCAAGAAGCCTAGTAGCCGATGGGACTTGCCGGACGGTCTGAGAGCATGAGGTGTGGCAGGGGATCAAACGGTCTTAGCTTTTGGGGCTGACAACAACTCCTTCACGGTCATGTGCCGCGAGCACCCGCCTGACAGTTCGGTGCTAAGCCTGACAGTCCCAACCGACGTTGGTGAGAATTAGAATGACGGGAACAAACACAACCGTCCAGCAGTCACAAGACGGGATGCTATCCATGGAGGTTAAGGGTGCCCCTGTCACATCCACTCACTGGATGGGACGAGGCACACCACCCCGTCTTGTGACTCCATGGTCATATCACCTTCTCTCAACCCAAGGCCGACCTGCAGGCCTAGCAGGCTCCCGAGTCAAGACTCGGCCTAACGGCCTTCCCACATGTTCCCACCACTGCATGATTGCGAGTCAAAGCCAGTCTAAATGCATAAACATGACGCATGAACATGCCTCCCCACCCCAAGAAGATCACACATAAAAACCAAAACTGTTCTGGATTCTGGCCTTTCAACTCCATGGGCTTTTGGCACACATGGTCCTTTTGAACAGCAGCACCAGGCACCACCACCACCACCACCTCCGCCACCAGGCACCATAATATTCATATTCATATAAGAATCCGTCTGCCTCTCCATGAGCCGTTGATCCTCTTGCACTTCAGAACGCACCTCCGGCAAAGGCGCCAGCTGTTGCCTCAGGCTGTCGACCTCGCGGCCTGTCGTCCCTCGTCCGCGCGTCCGCTCGGACCCCCGAACGGAAGGGAAGGATAGCAAGGGACAGGGATGCCCGACATACGTCCAGTGTGACCCAGTAAAACCTGGTCAAACTATACCTCCCTTTTTCGTGGTATTGTTGCATGACCAACGAGGTCATTGACTTGTAGCGATGAGGTTCATCTTTCTGGACCACTTCATCGGTGGCATTGAACATATGTGCCTGGTTTGTGTGGGACACCAACAGGAAAGTTTTGGTTTTGCAAAGATCGGATCATTGGAAGATGAGTGTTGAGCATCAACATGTGCTTTGACCTAAGTCTAGCGCTTACCTCGAAATTGATCGACGTCTTCACATGATGCATTCCTTTGATTGAAAGCTATTGAGAACTCCTCCCACAGCGCCTTAGTTCCCTTCCAAAGAATTCAATTCATCACTGATGTTGTTTTTCCGCTGCCTTTGCCGGGGGGAAGATCATGACTCGAACCAATGACCCCCAACCTCCACCACCCGACACGCCAAGAGCTCCGCGTCTCCAAGCCGCAAGAGCTCCGCGTGGAGCGGCACCTCCGCGCCGAGCGCCTCGTAGCGCAACGCGGCCAGGACGCTCCAGTCGCCCGACAGCGCGAAGCCCCGGCGCGAGCAGCGCGCCACACGCGCCACGTGCCGCACGGGGGAAGAAGCGGAGGCCTGGCTGGAGGGGAGGTGCAGGGCAGCAATCAGTGTGAGTGGGGGATAAAGAAATGAGTTTCGTACAAAGGTGGGAGAAGGTAGCATGAGACATGAGGTTGTAGCTTATATGATTGACCAGTATTTGGGCCAACTAGATTCTGACATTGTTGAAGCGTGCCAAAGCCACCGTAACATGTTGGGGCCCACTTCATTGATATAGGCCACAAAGAGATGGTCTCCTTGGTGAGGGACCCTTCAAAGTTCAGTGAGTTGCTCTGCATCCCAAACACTAGAGACATCAAAGGTTTTCAGGCGATGCTTCCAATGTGGGTTGAACTAATCAGTCCCGATTCATCCACTGGATCGGATTTTCGGCGGAAATTGAGCCACTGGCACGAACACCCTTGCCAGATTGAAGTCCTTGCACAGCCAAGCAACATAATGAGATCGATAGGTTCATCCAACCAAAACCAACGTTCTAGTTCTAGATGTTGAACACCATAACTGTTGAATGTTTAAACATCAGAAGGTTCTGGTGCCACAGCTTCCAACATCTTGAGTGCGCGGCAGAGGGGGCCGGTAAATCTGTGGTCCAAGTTGAACTAGTTGACCCAGTTGAACAAGGTGTCTCAGTTGACCCAAATTCACCCGGTTGAACCCAGTTGACCCAGTGTGTGATGGCCACTGCATCAACTGGAACCATTCGTTCGGGTGGAGCCAGTGCCTCAACTGTATCAACTGGGTTAACTGGATTATCTGGTTAACTGGGTGTCCGGATGAGGCGAGTGAAAGAAGTCGTTGACGGCTTGAGGTCCTTGACTCGTTTTCATACGACTCGTTTGAGGAAAGGGTCCCAACGGTCAACATGGGACGTCTGGCGTTGAGCTTGGCTTTCACTGGTTAGATAGGATTCTCTTTCTAGGGTTAACGATGTGTAAACACATATAAACACACGTAACAAAAGTTCGTTTAAGGCTTCATGTCATCCACTCTTCCTCAGTGGAACTTTGGACAAAAAAATGGTGACCGAATCTGAACGAAGCCACTCCACTGATCCATCCAGCCGACTCCCCTCCGCCTTCCAGCTCTGCACCAGCACCGTCTCCGGTGGCCGCTGCAGTCGCGGCACGAAGTCCGCTGCGGCCGTCGCGGCGCCCCGCGGCGCGGCGCTGCGCCGGGCGAAGCAAAGGCGACCCTGACAGGTCCCAGCGGTGTAGAGGAGATGAAGATCCTCCTGGCGGTGCAGAGGAGATGGGATCTGGGATGTTCCAACATGCGGTGGCTTCATAGTGCTTCTGTGAGGAAGCTATAGTTGGGGTGTTGAGAGATCTTGCTAGTCTTTTTTTCATTCTCTTAGATACCCTGAAGCATCTCCCCCCATAGGAACAGCCCCAAAAAAGTGCCACAGCAGGTCAGTGAAATACATCATTCAGGAGGATACACGAATGGCCGGGAGCCACCGGGATCACGAACGGCACGAACGCCAACTCCTCCAGGGGCTCAGAGATGTGCAGCTGCAGGATCATGCCTGACGGTCTGCGGAGTGAAAGACGATTGAATCACACGGGACCAAATTATACCCTAGGCGTACTCCAACCTAATAGGAATGGCCTCCAACCTACTAGCGATGGCCTCCAAACTAAAAGCGATGACGTCCGACCTACAAGCGACGGTAAAAGCGATGGCCTCCAACCTACTAGCGATGGCTCCCTTTTCTTTAATTGGTCTTTACCAAAGAACCATTTGTTTATAGTAATTTTTACACTACGCCACCAGGTCATGTAACCATTCTTTTCATGGTCTTAGAAGGCTAGGGTGAACAAAATATGTTCCTACTATGCAGCGAAGACCGTGTTCATTCATGTTCTCTTTCAACCAAAAATCATCTTAGGAAGCGTCTTTTGTCCTGTTTTCAGGTTCGATGTTTTTGTGTTGGATGAATGTTCGGGTGAGCTTCAACTCGCTTTGCTTGCTGCATTAGCTGTTCTTGGCCGTGCCACACGCCGGGATCATCGATCTGTCTCGCAACAGGTCTCGGTTTGGCTCGCAGTTTCCCAGCATCCCAGCCAAAGCCAAACACTCCATTAACCCCTACTCCAATATAAGGCCACATCAAAAAGACCCTCCCAACACCTGCAGTAGATTGCAGTAGATGACACAAACACGTGCACCACTTTAGGCTCAAAACAAAAGTTTGTTCACCTATCAACCCCTCCTCACCTGACCCGCTCTGTCTTTTCTCGAAAGTAACAACTGGACCTCTTCCACTGGCGCCGGTGACCTGTCAGTGGTATCACGTGTATTTCACCACTGCAGTGGTCTCCGGAACTTCAAACAGCACACTCCAGGATGATAGCATCTGGTGCCGAAAAAAACAGCTGAAACCGCTGGACTTCGGACCTCAGCCGTTTTTTTGTTGCACTATGGTATCGTGCTTGGCACCAGCTGTTTGGCATTAACATGGTGCTCCAAACCCTTCCATGCCATCCCACGTCGCGACGTCGCGAGGGTACAGCATCCTCTTCTCCCACCTCCCACGGCCCGCCTCGCTCTGTGAGTTCCGTCACCGTCAAGCGCGGGGCGGCGTTCCCCTCGGCCAAGTGCACCAGTTGGGGCGCGCTGGGCAGTGGCGGCGCGAAACGAATGAAGCCTGGCGCGGGTCGGAGTGCATCTCATGGCCGGCGTGGGCAGTCCATGGCCGTCCCCCAAGCAGTCCATGAGATGTTTTGAGATGCTTTGTGTTCTGCACCGCAGGGGGGCTGAAGGCTGAAGCTAGGCACCTTAAGCAATCTGGGGCCGATCACGGCAGCTCATGTCGCTCATGTAGCTCATGCTCGGTGAACATGATCCCCCCAAACCTGACAAACAACAAAAGTCAACACACATCCAGCCTGCCATTAAGCCACCAGGAAGCTCTTGAACTTCCCAAATGTTCTCCTTCACCCACCCAGCAACTGTGCTGGAACCCGCGCTGCCCGCGCTTCTGCCACCTTGGTGAGTGGAGTGCTCTCATAACGGTCACCATGGTTGATGTGGTGCAGTTGCCCACCCAGCAAATCCTCTCAAAACAGATCCTTCCATCTCTCTCGATGGGCGGTAGATGACCCAATTCCTACAAGTCAATGACCTCATGAAATACTGAAGTTAGCCATACGAAAACACTACGAAGAAGGACCAGGTTTTACTAGGTCAGACTGGACTTGTAGGGAACTGCTCGCTTCTTCAATAAACGATCCACTGGACTTGTAGGGATCCCAATAAGGCGTCGCTGCGATTCGATCGATTCAGGACATCACTATGGCACTACGAGACATTCATCCCGGATTCATCCCTTTTGCACTCATCTCTCGCCAACTGAGGTTCACACACACCAGAAACAAAGCACAGCACAACCATACCCAACACCATGCTGCTGAGGTGACCATCCGAAGTCCTCCCATTCGAATTCCGGCCCGACCCCACCGTGTCCGGCATACGCCGCGGCATAGGCTGCGGCAGCGTGGAGCGTGACCGGGGCCAAGGGCAGCTCCAGGAGCTTGGCGGTCCAGGCGGTGCCACAAATGGCAGGCGAGGCTCCAGGCCTTAGGATTGAGATTGAAGAGAGGTTAAGTAACTAACTGTTAAGTGACCTGAATAAGGAACGCCACTGAGTCACTGGGGTACCCAACTGAGTCATTGCGTTCAACCACTGGACGTCCACGCAGCGGCTCACCCCGTCCGGCGCACGGGCGAAGCGGCGACGAAGCGGATCGCGAAGGAGCGGTGTTCGGCCCGCGCGCGATCTCCGGGTCAGATGGATTGCAGTCCATGAGCCTGGCATCAACACCTATAAACACATTATCAGGGCCCTTTCGATCGATCGATGTTGACAGAAGCCTCCGGTGGGTTTTGCGGAACTTGTTCACCTGGTCATGATGCTTCAGGACTGTTAAAGGTTATTCATGGTCCACTTTTCAAGGGTAGGACTTGGGGATGGTGGGTGATAATCTCTGAGAGGAATGAGCCGGTCGGATAGAGGGTAGAATTGATGGAGGCGAGTGCTGGGGTCGATGAAAACCTTTCATCATTTCATCCTCAGTTTGACGGATCTTCGAACGTAGTACCTACCAAAACATCGGTTTTCTTGGATTTGCTTAAGGAACCTGGAAAACCATATTCCCCAAAAGGGGATTTCACCAAAGGGAAAACAACAAATCAGCTTAAGCAAAACCTGGTTTTGGAGGCCAGCCTATCTGCTGCCTGCCATCTATGCTCTTCTGGTCCGTACAAGATGATGCCTCTTGTTTGAGCCAAAGCCAAATGAAGGGTTCTCAACATTGGTCGTAGCTGCCAACATCCATCACCTTTTGTGAGATCTGCGAACATTCCACGGACATATCAGCAACGATGGGATCCAAAGCACCTAGACATAACAACACCATACCAATAGATATCGCCAAGTCTCTTAAGCACCTCCTGCATTTCTTGCTCACAATCTGCAAGCTGGACCTCCACAAAACAAGTAACTGATGGCAAACAAATGGCCAATGCACCGCCACAAAGGACTTGAGACCAAAAAGGAGAATCCTTTTAACCCTTTTCCAACCAATTGACCTCGTTCTGAATCCTTGCGGAGCACAACCTCGGTCACTCCCAGAACAGGAACTATGGCCAGTTCATGCCACTAGAAGCTGACCACCTTCGGACCACCCAACTTCTGTCCGGCTTGGCGGAAGATGGGGCGGAAGCCACACTGAGTGTGGCTGTGAGGTATGCACCATCGGAGCTCTGCTGATGGTCTGTGAGGGATGAAGAACAACGATCCCTGGACACCGGGTAGGGACACATGAGCAATTGTTGATTCTTACTTTGGAACATCGAAACTGGAACACAGCGAGCCCAAGGCTTCATCAATGTCCCGGAGAAATGCGAGCTCTGTAGTGCAGGACTTTATCATTGACCAAGTGTTCCAACCACCCTAAACCCTTAAACCCTATAAACCTCCTATAAACCCTAAACCCTAACAAGCCTCAAGCCAGCAGATCCTAGGAGTCTCCACTTGTTGGGGCAACCACATGTGCTCCGGGTGTCGACGGTGGCTTCGGAAGACACCTTGACCGGTCCAGCTTGACGCGACCGTGGTGACGCGACCGGTGGTTGACATGGTGCGACATGTTGCAGAATCGCCGAGCCGAGGTTCGGTATAGGAATACAATGCCCTAGGGATCCAAGTACCTTCTCAGCAGGTGATTGGAGACACCGCTATGTAGGTTTGGAGGGTCCAAGTACCTTCTGAGAAGGTACTTGGATCCCTAGGGATGGAATACCCAGACACGACGATCCATGGGACTGCCAGGACGGACTGCCGAGTGGCACGGCCAGGGGTGGTTGTTTGAGGGGTCAATGGGGTGGCATATATGGCAGTCTGATGGAGCATCTGGCATATATAATGATAGACTCTTGATGAATCACCCCCCCATATGAAGAGGTGTTTCAATTCATGTGGGTGTTACTCATCACACCCCTTCTACATTATATATAGAACCTTGATGAATGAACCCCACAAACATGGATTTAATGTTCACCTCTAGGCTTGGGGGAGTTGAAGTGGCTGAAATATCATCCGAGTCTACATGACCTGACAAAAATGGAAGATCATGGAAGTGGAACATTCCGTGGAACATGCCGCATGCCCAATTTGTGAGAAGGAAACTGGTCGTCCCAAAAACCTAAACCCCAGCCCACCACCATGTGAGGTCCGAAGTCAGATCGCCGTTCTCCCCGCCTCAATCTCTCCTGGGGGCCGGGCGCAGGAAGGGTGTCTTTTTGGGGCACCATGTGTCTGCCTCGACCCTAAACACCTCGTTCGTGTATAATAGTAAAAACATGTAAAAACATGAAGCAACCAAAACAGGTACGACGTCGTGCCCATGGAGAATCCAGGTACTTTCGCTGCCTTCGGACGTCACACGATCACGAGCATATAGTTCAGACTAGTTCAGATGGGAAAATGGTGAGACATCAAGGTCCACAAGTCACTGGGAAGAGCGGTCGGACCAACTCCACCAACTTTGGTGCGCTCTTTGGGGTCGTGACACGTTAACTCTTCCAGATGCTGAGGAATACTAACTGACCATGCTGCAAATCACCAAAAAGGCGCACATCCAATATATACAAAGCATGTACAGTACATCATGTACATGAAAACTAAGCCGTTTGCACCTACGTGCCGCCCGCCCGTACGGTATGATGTTTGTTGGACGTTCGCCCTTCTCACCCTTCCGCGGACCGCCCACCAGTCGAAGCGGTAGGGCGGTCGTCCATGGGTACGTAAGATGAACAGTCGGTTCTGTGCGAGTCAGTACTGAGTCATGCTCTTTTCATCTATGTTTCGGGTCCGAAGCTACGAGATGGTACGAGATGTTTCAGGTTTTAGAGTACGTTCTTTGACGTCAGAAGCGAAAAGCTGAGTCACCGATTTATTTCGCATTAGAATGCTCAGAACCTGCTTGAAGGAGGCCAATCGCATCTCTTTGCTACAAAATTGCCTCACCTTCTGAAGCGACATGTGCTGAGATATGACTGACCCGGCCTAATTAGGTGTTCCAAACAACAAACCCAAGTCGAACATTGTCAGGATGTGCGGCCTCTTCTTTCATGGGTAGAGAGAACCTCTGCCAAGGGGTAGAAGAAATCGTTTCATGTCTATTTTCCTGGAGGTCTCCGTATGTTTGTCAAAATAATAGTCAAAAAAAATACGGGTATGGATCATCTTTAGAATAAAACTGGCTTTTT